AGAAAAACTTTCAAACTGCAGCAGACCTGGGAACTGCGACAATCCATCAGGGACTGAAGTCGACCCTGAAGTCTGGTCTAAAATTACATCAGGCACGAGGAGTCGCGACCTGAAGCTCCTAAGACTCCAAAACGCACGTAATTCAGAAAGCAGCGATCCCACTGATCAAAATTACAGATCAGTGTCTCGACCGTGAAATTTCACCCTTGAAATTGTCAGAGGAAAGTGTTGCTTGAACCTTACTGGATGTCATTGCCATGTTGGGCCATGCAAATTGTGAGCTCATTCAGAGACGCAGAGACATGATCAGACCTGATCCGAACAACCAGTCTCGGCAAATTTGTGCTGAACATGTTGGCTTTGCAGATTTATTTATTTGTTTGGGAATGACCTCCCAAAACAAATTCAGGACATCAGTGCCACCAACAGGGTTGGACAAAAGCTACAAAGCAGTACCAAGGCCAATGATAACTATCACCGTAAATTTTCAAAAAACGGCCAAACTCACCGACCGCACCCCAACCAGCGGGGACAACGCTGGCAAAAGCCACTCCCTGCATTCCGCAAACGACAGGACAGGGTGGAGCAAAAACAGTAGTAATCGATAGTGTGTAGGTGAGTAAAGACTGTAATTTAGTGGATTCAAAAACCCAACCTGGGCTATTTAAAGCTGGAAGGATTAAAGATTATTTGTTAAACTGGGGCAAACTTACAACAGACCCACATATTTTAAGTATGGTCAAAGGATGTAAAATTGATTTTGACCGGCTCCCTTACCAAAGGCAGCCACCTTGCCAACGTCAACTTAGTATCAAAGAAATTGAGACAATCAGTGCTGAGATTGAAAAATTAGTCCTCAAAGGTGTTCTATTACACTGTTCACACGAAGAAGGTGAATTTCTCTCCACTGTCTTTTTAAGACCCAAAAGAGATGGAACTCATCGAATGATCCTCGATTTAAAAAAGTTGAATAAATTTGTGGCATACCATCATTTTAAGATGGAGTCATTGAAACATGTTATTAGCATGATGAGGCCGAACTGTTTCATGGCCTCAGTGGATCTGAGGATACTTATTATTCTGTACCTATCCACCATGATCATCAAAAATATCTCAAATTTAAGTGGCAAGGGAAGCTCTACCAGTTCACTTGCTTACCTAATGGTTTAGCTAGTGCCCCTCGTTTATTTACGAAGTTACTTAAACCTGCTTATAGCACACTCAGGAAACAGGGTTTTCAGTCAGTGGGCTATATTGATGACTCCTATTTACAGGGTACCACCAAGCCTGACTGTGAGAATAATGTTCGAGCCACCACTAAATTATTTGATACGCTGGGTCTTTATATTCACCCAGACAAATCAACCTTGGAGCCATCACAAGTTCTAGAGTTTCTAGGTTTTGTCTTGAATTCTGTGACCATGACTGTCACCTTGTCATATGCCAAGGCAGAAAATATCAAGCATGTTTGCAAAGCTGTTTTGACCACAACACAACCTACCATCAGGGAAGTGGCATTGGTCATAGGCACACTTGTGGCCAGTTGTCCTGGGGTTGCTATGGGACCCCTGTTTTATAGACAGCTGGAAAATGACAAAACTGCTGCCCTTAAGTTTCATCATGGTAATTTTGATGAACACATGATACTGTCACCAACTGCAAATTCTGATATGCAGTGGTGGTTTTGGAACATAGATAAGATCTCCAAACCCATTTCACAAGCTAATGCATCTTACATTCTTCATACAGACGCATCCTCACAAGGGTGGGGAGCTGTTTTTCAGGGACAATCATCAGGATGCCGCTGGGCACGTGATGAAGCTCACCGGCATATTAATTGCCTTGAATTAAAAGCAGCTTATCTAGGATTACAGTCCTTCTGTACAACTCTGTCTCATACCCATGTGAGAATTTTTCTTGATAACATCACAGCAGCAGTTTCCTACATTAATAATAGGGAGTTTAAGATACAGACGTTTTCGGGGCGACGGCGACGTGACAACCCAGGTAGACTGGGTCAGAGGTTGCCGTTTTCGCGCATCATACGTATAATTTAAGTTGTTAAGATTCTGATGACGGCTGGCCTTTACGATTTCTGCGACTTCGCGGAGTTTATTTGTTGCGCTTCATAAATTAAGGCTTTTTTGTCGTAGCATGGCTACGTTTGAAGAATTCCACCATCTCCTCGTCGTTTACTACGATGCTAAAAAATGTGTCAAGCTGGTTTGTCCATTCCATTGAGCTGAAAAAAAGGAGT